CGGGCTTGAAGCAAATAACATGAACCAAATGACAAGATCCGAACTTTTTACCTGATAATGAAGCTTTAACCCTTGCAAAGCTCAGATCTACACTTGAACACCACTTCTAGCCTTTCCAATGAGTTCTACTTCTCCTTTGCAACCTTGGAATGGCACCACCAAGCTTAGAATATACACCAAAAGGCTTAAGAACGAAGGTACACTCTATTTAGGGTTTCACTCTGAGGGATGGTCGCTGAGAAGTCCAGCCACACATTCCTTTTATAGCCCTCCAAAGGAATTAGGGTTTTTAGATCTGGGCAAGTTACGCCATGCGTAACCTTGGGTACGCCCAACGTACCTGAGGGTGAAGGCGTCCAAATGAGGCGTACGAGTACGCGCAGCGTACACCTTGTACGCCCAGCATACTCGCCTATCATGAAAGCCCTAAATTAACAACATAACCAAGATGTAGGGCCAAAAACAAGACTACCTGAATTTCGGGCTGTTACACAACCGGTGGTGCTCGCTTCGGCGACTCCCGATGCTTCTGTCCATTTCTTCAAGCGAGGTCGATGCGTGAGACACGATGGGAGGAAGAAGTAAGGGTCGGGGACGTTTGGAGGATGTTTGGGGTTGCTGTACTAGAAAAAATAAACACGGTGGTGGTGGGGTTTTACCATGGCAGCGTGTAGTGGCGGAGGGAGCTGCTCCAGTGGTCGGCAACAGTGGTTCTTGGTTATAAGTGAAGAAGAAGGAAGAGAAATGTTGGTCCGGTGAGGTATGAGAGAGAGAGAGAGAGAGAGAGAGAGAGAGAGGGAAGTGGGCCCTTTTTATTATTAAAATTAATAAATAGATATTATGTTTAAGAAAAATCAAAGAAAAAATAAAAAATAAATACCCCAAGGGTATTACAGTCATTTCAGTTTACTGAGGGACCAAAACTACATGTAAACTAGCTCAAAAGGACTATTAATCCAAAAAAGTTGAGGTTTGGATTAAAACCCCAAAAAAATGCATAACACAGGGACCATTTTTGCAATTATGTCAATGATTTAGGAGCATCAACAACCTCTCCCTCTTTCCATTGCTGCAATTCAAACAACACATACAACAACACACATCAAAAATTAAAAATAAACACACATAATCACCGGGGAAGTTGATTAAAAGAGACATTGGATTTGGTCCAATGCCAATCTATTTATGGTAATTTGTTCACGCCAATTGTTTGTGATATTCATTATGGATTTTTATGAATGCAACTCTTGATACAAACAACCAATAATGAACTCAACTTTTATCATCATTTTAGTTAATAGCTCTAGTTATATTTATTTTAAAGATATGTTTGTTAGCGAATAGGGTAGGAAACAAAGTTTAGTAACCATATATGTGGATACCTCACGGATCGTGTAGTTCAATGTTCGTATATATTGATATTTCTTTCATATGTCTATGTTAATAACAAATTTAATCTGAAATATCGTGCAGGACACTTGGTGTTTCAGGCACAAAATAGAAAACAAAGTTCTAGAGAGAGTATATGGATTGTTCGATTAGTTTCGTAAGAGAGTTAAAAATAAATGATAAATGAGTGTATATACCCATTGACCCAACAATTGGATAATATTGTCGATAATTGTGTTGAAAAATGGTTTCTTAAGAAATTGCCCAAAAAACTTGAATTGTTTGACCACAGTTATCACAAGCAACTTTGGCTACCTGGCAGTGTAAGTTACATTCGAGCTAACTCCATTTTGTATGTTTTTCCAGCTACCTTTATTCTAATGTTATCCACTTCATTCCAAGTCTAAAATTGTGTAAAGGTTGACACCCACCTTTCTTTATGTTATGACTCAAACTCATGTTATATCCAAGTTTACACTCTGCACACTTAACTTGCACATGTTAGATTACAATTATAAATTCCAATTTAACACACATTAATTTTAATTATATAAAATAGCTAATGATAATGATATCACAAATAATCAATAATATTTGTTGCCACAACTTTTTGGTTATTTTTCATAGAAATCCAACTATACAAACAATTTAATTTCTATCTTATAATTATGTCATCCAATACACAGAGAAAACAATCGGTTTCCATAATTTTCTTCTTCTTTATCTCATATAAGTTTGGGATGTTATAAGGGTAAAATGTGAACAGTTTCAATAGTTCAATGGCAAATAGATAACGAAAAAAAGTTTAGTGACTAAATATGAACAAAATCGAAAGTTCGTTTCCCTCTAAAAAGTTCAATGACTAAATGTGAACAAACTTTCTCTTATATTATGTTTTACCAAATTATTTATTTTTGTTAAATTGTAGCAACATTTATTGATGAAGAAATCTATGAAATAAAATAAAAAAAAAAAAAAAAAAAAAAAAAAAAAAAAAACAAAAAACAAAACCCTGAAAATATATTTAAAAAAAACAAAAAACCAAAACCGAAATAAAAAACCAATGGTTTGACATTTTCCAAAATAAAAAATCAAAATTTCCAATCTGATTTTGGTTTTACAAAAAAATGAACCATTCTCACTGATATCAATTATGACCATTGGTTTGACATGCGAAATTTGTGACATCCCATGAATATGTATTTACAACATCATGTGAACTCGTAATTCATAGTAAGGGGTTAGAGTATCATCGCATGAATACGTAGTTACAACATCGCCTGAAAATCGTAATTCATCACCTACAGGTTATGGGCCTGCTGGTGTTTCCACTGGGTTGTCTAGAATAGTCCGTGGTCGCCATCTATACTCTGGTAGATTACTACATCGTCACATTGTTGGTTAAGGTTATGGTATCTCCTTTCATCCTACATCACATATTCATCATCATCTATTTACCTAATTATCATCACCTTTCTATCATCACCTATCTCTCATCATTTTATTTCATCACATTGCTGGTTTAGGTTATGCTTCCTAACTTCAAACCCCAAGGTTTACTCTACTAAAGCTTCATATTCTCAGCTTTCTGGACCTAGAAGGGTCCAGATCTATCACACCAAAAAGCTCAAGATAGCTCTTCCTCTCACTCTACACACTCAAGCTTACTAGGGTTCTCACTTATGGGAAAGGTAGTCACAATTGAAGGCCATAAGTGCCTTTAAATATGGGTCGGGCCCAAAGATTTAGGGTTTTTGCCAACAGCGCGGACTCGTCGAGTCGCCTCACCGACTTGTCGAGTCCATTCATTAATCCGAGTCATCAGTCGCGACCTTACTCGACGAGTTGTGGCGTCAACTCGTCGAGTCTCTCTTCTTAACTCAAAAGAAAAATACTTAAATTATGATACCTGGAAATCCGGATGTTACATTTTGTTTTTTTATTTCATAGATTTCTTCATCAACAAATGTTGCTACAATTAAACAAAAATAAATAATTTTGCTAAAACATAATACAATAGGAAGTTTGTTCACATTTAGTCATTGAACTTTTTAGAGGGAAACGAACTTTCGATTTTGTTCACATTTAGTCACTAAACTTTTTTTCGTTATCTATTTGCCACTAAATTTTTGAAACTGTTCACATTTTACCCTTATGACCGGTAACAGCCGGTTATAAGGGTAAAATGTGAACAGTTTCAATAGTTCAATAACAAATAGATAACGAAAAAAAGTTTAGTGACTAAATGTGACAAAAGTCGAAAGTTCGTTACCCTTTCAAGTCATTATCCCTATAAGTTTGTAATATTTTCTTTTTTCTTATTAAAAGTAATACTAAATTTTAGAGAAATTTTTATATACCTTTCTTAAAAATCAAAACATCATATTTATTCAACCTAATTTTTAAATATCATATATACTCTTCATAAACTTTCAAATATCCAATTTACCCAAATACTTGTTTTTAGACATTCTATAATCATTTCAAATCTTTAGGTTTCTCAATAGAATGTTATAACCGTATTAAAAATCTAAGTTTAAAATATCATTTATTCCTTCTTGTAATACAAATCATGTTCTCAACTCATTTATTGACCTTGTTTTAGTTGTATCGGTTTGTTATTTTTCAAAAACATGTTAATATATTTAGAATGAGCAATAAGCAACGATTATGTAAGCTGAGCATCAGTCCAGACCCGGACCTAGAACTGAAGTACTGATAACCAATTTAGTGGAAAATGGAGAACCGTGACCAGACCAATACCCTAGTTCTGGTTCCGATTCCGATTCTACAAGTGCGCTCTTTAATTAGGGATGTGTTCAATTTCGAACCCGATTTGAATTAGAACAAGTATTGAAGAACTGAGAACCAATTTTGTGGGAAATGGAGAACCGAGAATCGAATCGAATATCCTGGTTCCAACTTTTTTTTCTAATCAGATCCAGTTCCATCGGGTCAAATGCTCGCCCGTACGATCATGTTCAACAACTTTTCAAACACACAAGAGTACATATAAAATATGGGCAAACAATAAGCGTTACAAAATAGACACCACATTTGCAATACATCTAGCTTTACAAAGAAGGTGATTGATTTTAGATTAAAATATCAACTTTTTTTTCTTTGGATTGATTTTAGTGAATAAAAAACAAAACTTACTATAATAATATTATATTTAAAAATTAAAATTAACAAATGTAATATTTTATATTCAATAATGACATATGAAATACCTTTCTATTAAATAAAAACAAGAAAAAAAAATTTAAGCCAAAACTGAAAAAAGCGCCATCCGTGGGACTCGAACCCACGACCACGTGGTTAAAAGCCACGCGCTCTACCAACTGAGCTAGAACGGCTAATTGCTTGAATATATAGATCAAGATTTTTATACCGAAAAAGACTTGGAAATAAGTAGAGGCATACGTGTCTGTTTGTAGTTGAAGCCTTATCTTTGTTATCTTAACTACGAACCGACTTATTGATGAATGTTTTAATGTACAAAAAGTTTGGTACATGAAGACATGTATATATATCTTGCAACACCATAATAAATAATTAGCACCATGTTATATATAGAATATATTAAAAAATTTAAGAGTAAAACTACATTAAAGTTCATTTAAAACAGCAATTTCCAACCATCTAAGCGATCCTTCCATTAACCCAGGGCTCAATCTAAACATAAGAACATAAAACTCCATCTCACTCAACTTGCCATCTCCATCAACATCACCTTCTCTTACCATATATCTCAGTTCACTGTCGTTCATCTTCTGCAACCCCAGCGAAGATGCGTTCCTCTTCAAGCTATCAAATGTTATGAACCCTTTCGTGTCTCTGTCCTCCAATAACTCAAACCCTTTGTACAGTTCGTTCATAAATCCTTCGGCACCCAACTTTTCCACCATGGATGGGAAATGATCCTCGAATTCAACAACAAAGTTTCCAGATTTCAAACCCATGAGTTATTTTTCTTCAGAGTACTATATATATAGTATAGGCAAAGTTAATCGTGGAATAGAAGATGAGATATGTGTATGTTTATATAGACAAAAAGAAGCCATGGATTCGAGGAAAGAAGGTAGGGGAGATGCCAACGAAGTTACAGATCATGATTTCTTCTTGGTGTTGTGTTTGGTTTTGTTGAGGAAATTCATGGCAGTAATGATGTTTCCTGGAAGTTGCATAATAAAACTGGAAGCTACCTCAGCCTCACTACAATACTTAAAATAGAAGGCTTTAAATTAATATAAGCCTTTGTTTGGTACGCAACGTGGGTAGCATTTTCCCTTTTCTGGAAACTTTAAATGAATTATGATGATGGAGACTTTTGATGCCATTCTTAAGATGTTTTTGAGGTTTCGTCGAAAGGGATAAAAGAGTCGATATTTTTTTTCTTTTTTTTCCTTTTTTCTTCTCTTTTTCTTTTTCTTTTTCTTTTTCTTTTTCTTTTTCTTCTTTTCTTTTGTAAAATTTGAGCTTTAGATTTAATACATTCTCATTTCCGCCTTTGATTTTATAATGCTTAGTTGTAAGTCACAAGAAATATGAGATTATATAAATAGTAGAACCGAAGGACTTATTGCTAGGGATGGAAAAATCCCCGTATCCGATGGGAATCAGAAACCCGTGTCCGGTTTGCCAGGTGAATCCCTAAGTTGACCGGGAATATGGAAATGCCCAAATAAAAAAACAAGTATGATGATACCCCTATTTCCCGACCGAAAACCTAACTCCGGTAGATATTAATATATATAAAAATAAAACAAAAATATATTTATAGTAAAAATTTACAACACCTAAAATTTGATCCAAGTAATCTAACTCATTATAATTATTTGGTTTGAATTATATTTTTTCTTATTCGTTTATCTAATTTAATCTCATGTATAATTTTTTATCTTTGGTTTATTTATTGTTACCTCAAATATCACATTCATAAAAAAATTTCTACCTGATTTTTTATGTATGTATTTTAATTTGGTAGAAAAAATTTTAAAGTTTTTATGCAATCTATGAATAGTTTTATAGTTTTTAAAATCTTTAATTTTATGTTGGTAAAGTTGAAATTTATATTTCTTCCTTATATAAAAGTTTTCATATTAAAATAAAAAAAAATAAAAAAAAAAATCTCTGATTGTCTATGATCCCCAATGGCGGGGTGGGGATAGGGATTAATTTATATTTTCCGGTGGGAGGAATGAGGATAGAAATTTAAATGAGGATACATGGATGGAGATTTGGTACCCCATTTTCATCTCTTGTTGATATATGATGTTGAAATGATGATCATAACCAAAATCGTTGGAGATTCAGGTCTGGTATGTTTGATAACTATAATTAATTAGAGTATATGCAGTTGTTCTAAAATAAATTAATAAATTTTTTTGTCAATGTAAAAGTTTATAATATGCCTATTATTTTGATATTTTTTTAATAAAAATCTCTTGAGAATGTATGTGTTCGAAATATTTTTCCCCAATAATAGAGTTCTACTATCATGCAAATATTTAAACACTTTTGATATATATATATATATATATATATATATATATATATATATATATATATATATATATATATATATATATATATATATATATATATATATATATATATAGAGAGAGAGAGAGAGAGAGAGAGTCAACATCAAATAAAAAGGAAATTTTTGGTAGGAATGTAACAAGTTTTTTTTCTACATATTTTTTTCACGAACAAACAAAATGAATCATTAGATGATTCATTTGTAAGATGATTCACAAGAAAAAATTCTCAAAAAAACATCTCGCCGATTCATTTATATAATGATTTTGTTGTTATTCACTAAAATTGTCATAAAAGTGGATTTTTTCTTAATTTACTTAAAAATGAATCATATAGATGTTTTTTTAAGAATGTTTTCTTGTGAATCATCTTACAAATGAATCATCTAGTGATTTATTTTTTTTGTTCGTCAAAAAAATATATAGAAAAAAAAACTTCTTACCTTCCTACCAAAAAAAATTTCGTACCATATATATATATATATATATATATATATATATATATATATATATATAATATAATATATATATATATATATATATATATATATATATATATATATATATATATAGTGTGAAACGTAAAAACATTATTTTTATGTTATTATTCTGTAATGAATTTTGTATCTACAATTTTATGTCATTATTCAGGAATGAATAAATAAATAATCACATGTTAAAACTAAAAATAGAATTTACTAAAAAAATACACATATATAAATCTAATAGAATAATAAAATTCTAACGAATATATGAGTAATCAAAAGGTTAATATTCATATTAGAATTGCTTCAACAACATACATATACAACATTCATTACATAATAATAACATAAATATAGTGTTTTTACGTTGTCAGATTATTTACTATTTTTATTTGAACTTGCTTCTATCTCTCTCTCTCTCTCTCTCTCTCTTTATATATATATATATATATATATATATATATATATATATATATGTGTGTGTGTGTGTGTGTATATATATATATATATATATATATTGAACAAATGAATTTTTTAAAATTAATAAGAGGCTAGAAAAGAAACAGTTACAAACACATAACTAAAAAAGGGATTTTGGATCCCATTAGTCCACTTAGCCAAAACCTTATTGCTTATATTCATATACCGATTAAATGACAAATCTACGATACTTATCAAACAACAAGTCTCGACAAGGGGGTTTATCATCAAACAACAACTCATTTTGCAACCTCAAAACAACCCACATAACCACAAAAGCTAAGGGCTCCAACACTCCTTTCTCACTGAACTGATGTGAGACTCGTCGATCCAAGTGAAGATATAAACAACCGCCACCCAGTCCAGAATAACAAAATCAAGCCATCTAAACGCTCACCTCCAAATATTAGCAGCAATTTCAAATGCCAAGAGAACGTGATTGACAATTTCCATCGAATTTGAACAAATAGGACACAACAAGGAAGACATCGCAACCCTTTTTCTAACTCAAATCCATCTAGTAGGAAGTCGATCAAGATAAGCACGCCAAACAAAAATTTTAAATTTGCTTGGGACAAGCCAACTGCAGCTCGTTATATAAACAACCCTCCAACATATAAACATTATCAATGAACTTTCTAGTCTCACTTGTTGGTGGTTGTTGACACCAACAAATAAATAACACTAATGTTCTAACACATAATTATGTGTAACGCCACATTTTTTAACACGAAGTACACCAAAAAAATTCAATTTTAATTTAAAAAACAACATGGTGTACATTTTTTGTTAACTAGGAAGATACAATAAGTTATGAAAATGGTTTGCAGCCGAAAATAGGTGTTCGGTTCTGCTGGTGTTTTCGGCTCCTTGAAGATATGAAGGTTGTTCTTGGTGTTCTTGGTGAAAATATGAAGATTCAAAGGACTGTTCTTGAGGATATGAATGTTCTTGGGAGAGAATTGAGAGTGTTTTCGGGTGAAAAGGGTGAGAAATGAACAAGTTCTCGGGGAAAACCCTTTATATCGGTTGAGTTTTTGGCTAGAAAGTGGGTTCTCGGCCAAAATCCTTTTTCGGTCCGAGGGTTTTCGGCCAAAAACGCATGGCTGAACAAGATTAGTTGTTTTTCGAGGAAAAATCCAGATTTTTAAGTGTTTTTGGTTCCGAAAACTTATATAAACTTTATTTATATAATTTAAATGGTTTTCTAACCTTTTTGAGCTTAATAGAATAATTAAATTTTGAAATTTTATTTAACATAATTGACTTTTGTTGATTGGAAAAGTATCAGGTTGTCACATGAGTTGTTGTATGGACAGAGATGTCGCACCCCATTCTGTTGGGGTGAGGTCAGTTATAGGGTGATGGGTCGCACCGAGGTGGTTCTGAAGACTACCAAGAGGATTCAACGGATCAGACAGCAGTTGCAGATCGCACAGAGTTGGCAGAAGAGTTACGCTGACAGACGCCGATCTAACTTGGAGTTTCAGGTCGGTGACATGGTACTCCTGAAGGTCTCCCCCTGGAAGGGTGTGATCCGTTTCAGGAAGAGGGGGAAATTAGGTCCCCGATACATCGGGCCGTTCAGGATCATTGCCAAGGTTGGAAAGGTGACATACAAACTAGAGCTACTAGAGGAGCTTAGTCAAATCCACAACACTTTCCATGTATCACAATTGTGAAAGTACGTATTAGATGAGGAGGCAATGGTGTCTTTGCATGACATACAACTCGACGAGCGGTTGAATTACATAGAGAGGCCAGTGGCCATTCTGGAGAGGAAAGTGAAGGTTCTACGGAACAAGGAGGTACATTTGGCAAAGTTACAATGAGAGCACCGGAGGGGATATTAGTGGAGTTGGGAGCCGGAGACTGAGATGCGAGAGCATTACTCGAAGTTTTTCACCGCAGAGGACTTCGAGGATGAAGTCTAATTCAAGTGGGGGAGAATTGTAACACTACGACTCTCTGGTATAAACTTTACAATGTTATATTCATTTTGAAAGGTCTACTCGACAAGTCGGATGCCCTGACTCGTCGAGTAAGAGCGGATTTGGCTGCGTGTCTTAAGTGACCAACTCAATGAGATGGAGGACACAACTCGATGAGTTGGAGCTAGAGGATGAAACCCTAATTTCCAGGGTTTTGCACCCTATTTAAAGGGTCATTAGCCTCCCTTACAGCCCCCTTGAGCTCAGAAACCCTAAATCGTATTTACTCTCCATATTTGTGTGTTATTAAGCTTGGAAGGTGGATTTTGGTGAGAAGAGATTGAAGATCAAGGAGCTTGGAGCAAGGAAAGTTGTGGATCCGAATTCTACTCCATCTTAGCATCACTTTGAAGGTAACAATTCGTTACTTAACTTTCTTCTAACTAGATCTCTCCATGCTTGAGATTAGGGCCATTTTAGCATGTTGGTAATTCATTTTAGGTGTTGGGCATGATCTGAAGTT